TTGTAGCTTGCAAAAGGACAGTGGACATGGGTAATGCCAGAGTGGAAGATGTATCAAGCTGGACGATGTCAAAAACCGCATCCGTCACTTGAGGGTGTTGCTGAACGACAGAGAGGCCTAGGGAATGGGCCATTCTTTTTACAAGATCTGTGTATGACATGAGACTGTCAGATGGGGAGATGGGCAAATCATCAGCGACAGCCTGATTAGGAGACTTATGATCAGGGGAGGTGTGAGCCTCAGATGCTTCGGTATCGGAATTGTATTCCATTGAATCAGAGGACTCCGGGTGTGGCATTTGGACAGGAGTGTCCTGTTGACCAGTTAAAGATCTTGGTGGAACGACAGGGGTGGAAACGACTGGGGTTTGAACGACCTGAGGGTTGGGAGGACGACTGTGATCCAAGTTATGCTGGGCAGGATCGTCTGCAGGAGGACGAGAGAGAGATGCTGAAGGTCTCGACCCGTAGGGCAATCTTGATCTATGAGCAGAGTGGGATGAATATCGATCCCAGTCGGAATAGTTCGCCAGAATCAGCCATGGCAAGGATGGTGGATAAGCCCCATACAGATACCTCATCTGTCATTGATCCCAAGACAGAGGTGGTGCCGGGGGTAAGAAGACTTGTGGGGATCGACTTCTGGACTGTGGACATCTTGGAGACAAAGCGGCGGCATGTCTTTGAGAGGAGCCCGTATAATCTCGGTTGTCGATATCGACAGATTGACTGTGCAGACGTGGAGGGTGACGCGTGTCACATGAAGCATATCAGTGCCGAAGTGGATCGATGTCGGGAGCTTCCAATATCGTCAACGACGGCATCGGAAACGGAGAAGGCTCTGCATCCATTTGATGACTTAGGAGCTCTACCATTTCGATGTTGGAGTAAGGACGCTCCATTTGGTGGACAGGGGAGTCCAAGACATGGATGGTCGGTATCGGAGGGACTTGGGCCTCTGGTATCGATACAGTCGTTGGAGCGGGAGGCACTTTAGGGGCATCACCCAGTGCAGCCACCGCTACTTTCCCCTTCTTTGCCGCCTTAAGGGGTTTGGAAGAGCCCTTCTTTGCGGACTTTTGCTCCTTACTTGGCCTGGATTTCTTTTTCACCGGCGTGGAAGCGGAGGATTGCGCCTTCGATGCTGGAGGCTTCGGAGTCGGTTGGCCGATATCGAGGCAGGGACTCAATGCCAGAGCCGTTGAGGTCGATGGTTTCTCGGCGTCCATCGCTGAGGAAGGATGTAGAGCCGATTCTAGCAGAGCCACTTTAAGGCGTGCAGCTCGGTTTTTTCAGGTCTGGTTTGAAAAGCGAGCACAGTGGTGACAAAATTCGGGTTGATGAGACTCTCCGAGACAAAGTATGCAAAGGGTATGACGGTCAGGAGGAGCAAGTTTACTACCGCAACCCTTGCATCTATTAAAAAAGCCCCACTTCTTCTCCATAAAAACCAAAATGAAGAAGAAAGGAGGGGTGGGGGGGTAGCCCAAAGGCCCGACTGAAGTAAAGCGGCAACCTCCCCCTCAGCAGAAAATAAAAGGGTTTTTTAAAAGTTTTTTGAAAGAACAACGAAGAAAAGGAATAAACTGAGGAAAAAATCCAAAGAGCCGTGAGGCAAAAAGCCAAAACACGCGAACCGATCAGACCGACGAAGAAAAAGGTCTTTCCAACGCGGCGGTAAGAAAGGAACTGGTGGGATGTCCACGCCCTCCCCTCTGGGCATGCGCGGTGGGGTTCCTGCGCATGCCCGAGGTCTGGGCACGAAAATCCGTTAAAAGAGCTTGCTACAATGCCGATCGATCCAGCGCGTGCACACTAGATCCCATGGGTGTGAAGCACAGAGACCACGTCAAAGATCTAGTTAATCAAAGTTCCAAAGTACTCAGCAAGTGTACAGGGACATGTGTGTTAAAACTACATTTTCAGAGGTACTTGTACCAATTAAACAATGGGTTTCTCATCCTACTAAAGCAATAATGACCCAGCTATTAAATTGGAATATAAGCAAACTCTTGCACGGTTAGCCAAGAAACCAAATGTGTAATTTCCCCTTATTTACTCCCTGTGCCCACCTCATTTTCCAGCTGAATATTTCATAAGCCTAGCTGGCATATCTTAGCACATTCCTCAAAACTCATAAACCTTAAAATAGCAGCATTACTATGAACATTGCCAGCACCACCACCTCTTCCTGTCCCTTTCCCAGGTGGACAGTTACCCACATTCACACTATTCATTTCTAAAGCTGACCAACAAACAATATGCTGCCAAGAAGAAATATAAAATAATTAGTTGTAACATAAAAAAAAGTTTTAAGGTTTGGGCTCTGATGGATACAAATGAACTGAAACAAGTCACTAACAGTGCAATATGATGCACAGTTACTCCAGTTATGTAATAACTCTGTAAAGGCCTGCATTGTTAGACATGCAAACATCCAAGAAACTCCCCCCCCATTTAATTAGAACAACTTTCATTTCAAATCACATAGTTCTTTTAAAGAGTAGTTAAGTAAAATAAGTTGAATCAATTACAGAAAACTTACCACAAACACACTTGTTTTGTTGTTTGTGGCCCAATGGACCTCCAGAGGATGACTGTAGATTTATTGGGGGGGTGTAAAATACCTTATCGGTATTTTCAAGATACTGTTTCAGCTGAATATAGATTTGGGTTATTGTTCAGGTGCCTGAAATGCCCAAGCTCGGAAAATCCCGAAAACATTCAGGATTTTTGGGACTGCTGGATACTCAAACTTAAAGGGCATTTAAAGGGAGTGTGCTCCCTTTAAATGCCTTCTCCAAGCCACATGACTCTGCAACCAATAAACTCCATAGGAGTTTAAAGGGCTTGCACTCCCACTAAATGCCTTCAGAATTCACTTGTTGTGGAATCAGGCAGCTTGGAGAAGGCATTTAAAGGGACTTAAATCAATGGAGGATGAGGGCACCTTATTTGGGGGCCCACAGAATTGGACCCCCTGGTCCAATCTTTTTGAAACTTGGGGAGGGGTTGAGAAGAGGCAACAGCAGCTATGCAGCAAATTTGGTGCCTCTACCTCAAAAAACAACCCTCCCAGAACCCCAGATACCCACGGATCAATTCTCCATTATACTATACGGAGTCCATTGAGTATAATGGTTTGCCAAATATTTCCCAAATCCAAATACCATACCAGTATTGGGATTTGTGAATATTGGAACATTCTGATACTTTTCGTGTTCAATATACCCGAACCCAAAACATACTGGAGGAGTTGCACATCACTAAACTTTGTGCATCAATATACCCTTATACTCAAGGTTCAGTTGGGACTGGAGCGTGGAGGAGTGGCATTCCGGTAGTGAGGAGCTGAGGGGGCGGGCACATGACCAAGCCCTGCCCCCTGCAATTGCCGGATATGAGAAGGGAGATCGGGAGGAACAAATGATGGGCGCTCCGCAGGTAAAGACCTGACTCCTGAGGCGAAGGGGCCCACACACACACCCCTCATCATCGCCGGCCCATGCCTGGGCTGCTGGAAGGCCGTCCGCCTCCCCCCTCGCCATCGCCGGCCCGCACCTCAACACACAGATGACTGGAAGGCTGCCCACCTCCCCCCCTCGCCATCACCAGCCCATGCCTGGGTTGCTGGAAGGCCACCCGCCTCCCCCCTCGCCATCACCTGCCCATGCCTCCACACACGGGCTGCTGGAAGGCCACCCACCTCCCCTCCTCGCCATCGCCGACCCACACCTGGGTTGCTGGAAGGCCACCCACCTCCCCACTCGCCATTGCCAGCCCACACCTCCATGCACGGGCCACTGGAAGGCCATCCGCCTCCCCTCCTCGCCATTGCCGACCCACGCCTGGGCTACTGGAAGGCCGCCTGCCTCCCCCCCCTCGCCATTGCCAGCCCACGCCAATGCCTACCCACCCACCCCGCGCTTTCTTTCCGTCCTTCTTTTCTTCTCTCTCTTTCTTTCCCTCTTTCTTTCTTTATTTCCCTTTTTCTTTTCCTCCTTTTCTTCTCTCTTTCCCGCCTTTCCTTCTCTCCTTTTCCTCCTTTTCTTCTCTCTTTCATTCCCTCCTTTCCTTCTCTCCTTTTCCTTTTTCCCTCTTTCTTCTCTTCTCTTTTTTCCTCCTTTCCCGGTTTCCCTCCTTCTTTCCTTCTCTCTCTTTCTTTCCCTCCTTCTTTCCTTCTCTTTCTTTCCCTCTTTCCTTCCAGTGACACCTTTAAGACCAAGAAAAAAAGGAGAAACGACGGCTGAGGGGTGACATGATTGAGGTTTATAAGATTATGCATGGGATAGAGCAGGTTGAGAAAGAAGTCCTGTTCTCCCTTTCTCACACTACAAGAACTCGTGGGCACTCAATGAAATTGCTGAGCAGTCGGGTTAGAACAGATAAAAGGAAGTACTTCTTTACCCAAGGAGTGATTACCACATGGAATTCACTGCCACAGGAAGAGGCAGTGGCTACAAGCATGGATGGCTTCAAGAGGGAATTAGATAAGCATATGGAGCAGAGGTCCATCAGTGGCTACAAGGTATAGATAGGAACTCTCAGGCTGGGGCAAGTGATGCACTGTATTCTTGGTGCTTGGGGGGGGGGCAATGTTGGGAGGGCTTCTAGTGTCCTGGCCCTGCTGGTAGACCTCCTGATGGCACCTGGTATTTTTGGCCACTGTGTGACAGAGTGTTGGACTAGATGGGTCATTGGCCTGATCCAACATTGACTTCTCTTTATGTTCTTATGTAAGATTTATTCAGGTACAAGCTCTCCCTCCTCTGTGAGGACAGATCTGCACGTCCCCCCCCTAATAGCTAGCAATCCAAAACAGTCCAGTGGAGCCTGAGCAGTGGGTTTTGCCTTCTGACACACTTCAGGTGATGTCAGGGTATGTGACATATGCAAATAAGTTATGGTAATGAGTTATGTTAATGAGCTCCTGCACCTCTTTTTCTACGAAATGACCCCTGCTTGTACTTATACCCTTGTACTTTGGTACTTGTGACTGTATTAAACAAATTACTCACCATTCTTGCTGACATCCAGTTCCCTGAGGTTTATGAGATTTGCTATGGATGCAGGCAATGTTGTTAGATCATTGTCCGGCAAGCTCAACTTGTGCAGAGACTGACAGTTAAAAAGTTGCTATCGAAATAAAGACAAAAAATTATTGTTGTTACTATGAATTGTCACAGTGAGATATCTGATTGTGTTCTGCAATTTTATTATTCCATGTTTGAATTTGATAGTCCCCTATCGGGACAGAACAATGATAACATTCTTGTAGACTATTTTTTTAAACTCTGTCACATTACACATAGTGCGCTCAGAGGCTCTTACAAGTGTATAGCCAGAGCCAAACCTTGCAAAAAAGTTCTGATTTTTATTTAAATGAGGATAAGATAAACATCACAAGATTTGCAAACAAAAATGAGATATAAAAGCTTCAGGATAGCTTATTCAAAGTGAGAAACCATTTTTCCAGTAATAACATTAAAAATATACAGCACTGCTAACACAAAAGAAACCACAGTTAGTTCAGTTACTTTTTTATTTTGCACTAAAGCAAAAACTATTGCATGGCAAGGAAACCAAATTATTTTTAAAATTTCATTAGAAAAAGCTCAAATGCTAGGCTCAGAGTGCTAGAGAAATATTTTTTAAATGCTGCTTTCGCATAAATGGCCAGAATGTGCATATCTTAATTATTTTGGCTTTTCCCCACAAGAAGTGATGCAGGGGCAAGAGGAGATACACAAGCAAAAAGCTATAGGGATGTTTGGTGAAGGGAACATGCCTGGAAGCCGTGAGGGGGAAAAAATGTGATCATACTGAGCACAAATGCTCTGCACAATGCAGTCTTATGAATATGGCCTATCTGTGCCAGATAGCAAAGTCAGTACAAAATTGTATGCACATATAATCTTATTAACTCATTAAGCATAGACCATAAACTTGTTATGTACTATATTACAAAGGATTCTGAATTTCAAAGAGCATAATCTTTTAACCAATTTTCAACCAAAATTCAGAATGCATTAAGTATCAGATCATATATTTTTACTCACATACACACTTTAAAAGTGGGTCTATATGCAGTTTCTGTAATTTCACTGGAAATCTGACATCTAAGTGATAACTCTGGACTTTTCAACCAGTTATTGTAGAATTTTAATTATTACAAACTTTCTGACAATTACAACAGAAATTAAACCAAAAAGGGTTGAGAGCACAAAGAAAAAATAGTATGATACAATATATAAATGAACAGATCCAATTATGTGCACAAAACACAACACCAGTAAAACACAACACCAGTAATTTAATATATCAACAAATCCAAAACAGGAAACAATGGCGCACATACAATAAAGTAACGCACACTGCCAAATACTATGAAATAGAATGCCCAAAGTATTTCATCACAAAGCCTTCAATAGTGGCTTATGACTATTGGTGGGCACGAATCAGAAAAAATGGAGGTTCAGGGTTTTCACAAACCATGAACCTCCACGAACTTCTCCATTGCACAAACTGGTTCGTGCTTCGGGAAGTTCACTGGCTTCAGGCCCACCCAGAAGTGAGCTCTAAAGGCATTTAAATGCCTTTGGAGCTCACTTCTGGTTGGGGGCATGGCTGCGGCACAACTTGAAAGTGGGCTCCAAAGGCATTTAAATGCCTTCAGAGCTCACTCGAGCTGCAGCTCCACCCAGAAATGTGCCTCAAAAGCATTTTTAAATATTTTCTGAGCCCACCTCCAGGTCAGGCCGGATTGACTAAGCTCTGAGAATAAACTCTTTGGAGCTCACTTTTGGAGCTCAGGCAAGTTGGGCAGCCTGACTCCACTGAACTCTCAGAGTGAGCTCTAAAGGCATTTACAAGTATTTGGAGCCCACTTCCAGGTGGGGCCTGCCCATATAAGGGCAAGTAAGTCCTATAAAATTCTTCAGAGCTCACTCTGGGAGCTCAGTCGAGCTGGCAAGACCTGGAAGTGTGCTCCAAAGGCATTTAAATGCCTTTGGAGCTCACTTCCTGTTGGCCGGACCAACCTGGAAGTAAGTTCTTCCCTGTTGCCTGGGGAATTGATTGATCAGCACCAGGCTGTCTGGCCCAATGAAGTGCCATGACTTGTTGAAACAAAACATAGAGAGTCGTGGATAGCTTTATCAACAAAGCAATTGCTCAAAGTGGCTGTTTACGATGCACGAAGTGGCATAAGTTTTGACAACTTTCACTTTGTGCGCCGCTTTGTGCCCGTCCCCTACTTATATGACCATAATTAGCATAATCCTATCTAACTCATACCGTAAAAGACATAAAACACATCACAAGAACCAGCAAGATAACCAAATTAATTTCTTGGAGTAAATTAAATACCCCTTATATGAGTACAGTCTTTAAATATTTCCACATCTGGGTATCTCTGGTCCAAACAACAACATCAATATACATGTGTGTCTTCCTATGCTAATAACAGCTGCCGAAAATCTTATGATATTAGTAATACCGCAGTGTCTCATTTAAGTTCAGAGTCCTAAAAGTATGTGTCAGTGCGTGCATTTCAAGTATAAACATTTACTGTAATATGGTAGTATAGCTGCTGTGGCACCCTATCCTTAGCATTTGTGTGGTACCACAATAGTATTGGACCAATAATTAAAAGACTGGGAATAGCCACAGGTTCTTCCTTCCTATTAGGAGTCTTTCACCACTATCTGCTGTCATTTTTAACTAAGCACTGTAGCTGCATCAACACTTACAATGGTTTATTCTTACCAGGTTACTGCTTAAAAACTCTGGCTGCAAATTCTGGTTAAGAAAGGTAACCTAGCTAGCATTAGGCATGGTTTACATGGATGCTAATGGAATGTTTGAACAAAAATTAAAGTGGACAAGGGAAAGGGAAAGACCATGCAACCCTGCAGCCAGCTCCTTTAACCATGCATCTACATAGTATCTAAAGAGTTTGACTTTGTATCATCAGCATTCTTGCTCTGAGCTCAAAAGAGGAGAAAGCACCTAGAAAACACCTGTGTGTCCATAATCCTGCAAATTTGCACAACAATTGCCTGTTCATTCTCTGTCTTTCTCTCTCATATACTCAAATTAAATATTAGAACACAACATACCTTTGGAAGCTCTTCAATTTGATTTGCATCTAAATAGAGTTCTTCCAATGTCTTTTCGAAAGTAAAAATCTCCTTAGGCACCTGCTCCAGGCTGCAGTGAGAATAATCAAGTGCAGTGACAGTTTCTTCTTCTCCACGCAAACAGCGGCAGGGCACCAACCGCACAAACAAGTTCCGCTTTGTTGTTAAATTCAGGCACTACAAAGAACAACAAAGAACAAAAAGAACCATGCTTAAGAAGCTGATAAAATAAAATACGGCTATATTTTGTGCAAGTATGAAAAGCTTATCTAAAGTTAACAGTGAAAGTAAGTTTTCACAAAATTTACCAGAATTTTTTGGGTCACATTCATACGTTTTCTGAGATTTAACAAAATCTCTGAGTAGAAACACCACCCACTTAAAGTTGTTCTACAGTTTTTAATGGAGACAAATGTGAGGCAGCCAGATAATTTGCTCAACTTTCAAACTGTCAAGGAGTTAAGACAAAGAACACATCTAATAATAAACCAGTTGGCCCTGTGTGGGAGAATAAGGGGGCTTTAGCTACTTGAGGAATATCCCGGGTATGAAGAAAAATATGATTGAATAAGTTAGCTAAAAGGAGAAACCCTTAAAAATGGTCTTAGTTGGGCTAAAAATTGCTTCAAAAGAATTGTCAGAGCATCTAAGGGTCAGAAAAACAAAAAAGAAGGGTGAAGGAATCAGTCTGCTCAAGCCCCTGAGAGCACAGAGAATCCCCGGGAGAGGGAGTTTCTGCAGGAGGGAGTTTCTGCATTGGTACTTCCCCTACAATTCCTTGCAGGCCTCAAGCTTGTAAATACAAAACAAGTAAGATGATTATCTAATGAACAGGTAAATATGGTTAAGAAACAAAAATAAAGTAACTGATCTTCTTGACACAAGTTTGAGACCTTTTGCTCTTAATTTAATTCTTGTATATACAGGGCTACATCCAGTAAGCTTTCCCATTCAATCTCACCCAATCCCCTTCCTTGTTACCACTCCCAATCCTGTCTATTCAGGTCCCGTGGTCCCCAACATAACTTTTTGGTGGTCATGCTCCTTTCTTCACTAAAAGCTGACTGGATCCACCCCTTCTGTAAACATGGAAAATAATACTATCTAGGCTGGTGGATTTTAAAGGCCATTGATAGCTAAAGAGCTGCTGTACTGAAAAGCTTGGTGAAGCCCAGACAGGGGGCTTTTCAAATTAGGCAGTCACAAAGCATGTGGCAGTAAATAGACAAGATTCTAAATTTAACAACAGTTGGTCAGAGTTCCTGGAACCATCTGAAACTTGAATGCCTGTATTCATGCACTAAGCCTCACTTCATCTTCCTCCTTTTCCCTTCCCTGTCCACCTATTATGTGCAATATGTTTTGAAGGTTTAATGGATAGCAACAAAAAAACCCCCAAGTTAGGATGGGTATAACAGATGGGTTACCTTTTTGTTTAAGAAAAGCTTGTTAAAATAGAAATGACAAAACGAACAACATTGTTTCCGACCATTGGTTACTCACCGTGAAGGGTCCTTCTCCTCTGAGGCTTGGAGGACATCTTGTGGGTGATTCCCATCCATCACTTAGGGAGGCAGGACTAATTTCAATTACTTCGTGTTTCCTGTACTGGGAGTCACCCTAGGCTCAGTTCTGGTGCTCCAAAAGCAGTACACTAACTTAACCACTGTAAAAAAGAGAACTTGAACATCAACAACAAGAGTATAGCCAAATCACAAACATTGGAACAGGAAGAAAAAGGTGAGACCTCTCTCTCATGTAATCTTATTATTATTTTTAAATAGAGTGTGAAAGAACAGCATAGTAGAGGAAATGACAACCCGGGAGGGCCAAGATGTCCTCCAAGACTCAGTGGAGAAGGACCCTTCACGGTGAGTAACCAATGGTCGTTCTCCCTCTGAGGTGGAGGCCATCTTGTGGGACCTCCCAGAGTAGTGTCCCTAATTTTTGGAAGGGTGGTCGTCATCAAGAGTCAGAACAGACTGCAGCACTCTCCGTCCGAATGCTGCATCAGCAGAGTCATATATATCTTGTAATGCCTGATGAATGTGGATAACAAAGAACACGTAGCAGTTCTACAGACTTCCTCCACCGATGCCCTGTTGGCAAAGGCCATATTCGTTGCAGCATTGCGAAGAGAGTGGGCCGTGATACCTGCAGGAACTTGTTTCATACTCCTATAGGCTACAGTAATGCAGGACCTCATTGTGTTGCTTATGGCAGAGTTAGACATCTTTCTCCCTGTGTGAAGAGGAAAAATGTTAACAAACATATCTTCTGTCTGTCTGAAACAGGCCATTCTGAGAATATAGCATTTGAGCACTCTCCTCACATCCAGTGTATGCCA